TGATGGATATTCTTTTTCATATTCACATTATTAAGTTAAAATGCTGTTTTTTAACATTTTCTTGATAGTGTGCTATTTGAAGTTTAGACTTCTGGATGAATAAGGTGATAAATTTGTGGAGGGAGACTGGTAATTTAAAAACAAATAGAAATCACACTAAAAGCATCTAGTATAAGGCACTTTTTAAAGACTTTTTTTTTAATAGTGTGCCATATCTAATCAAGGTTTTGGGGTAGGGGTGTAAGGTATCTGTTTTCTCATATAGCTACGAAATGCCTATTTTGTTCCTCTGGAAAAGATGAAAAGTTTACAAAAACTTAACAAATATGTTTTAAAGACAGAAAAATCTCTCCCACACAAAATCTACCTTCTGATAGTTGTTTAGTATCACTTCACAGGTTTGGAATTGAAAAGGAGGTTTTTGGGTATGTGGACCGAGTTGGTGTAATCCTGCTTTGTAGGTCAAGGATTTGTGACATGAGCATGACTTTTGTCTTTTGACCATGCTGAATGAGGAGGTGGCAGCATTAGACCCCACTTGAAAGGGGTCTAATATTGATGCAATGACAGTCTGCCTTGGAGAACCCTGTAACAGCTCAGCAGTGTTTAGAAAGACACTGTATTTCTTGTTACCTTTTGGTAACGGTTTCTCAGCTGTTGTACTTTTAGGAGCAACTCCTAGATTTCCCCACACCGTTGTCATGGCTTAAAATCTCTTTCTCTGGCTGCAGCAGTGAGTGGACCAATTGCAAACCATTTGTTATGGGCTTGTTCTCCACCGATGGAGGTCCACTAACTTCTTTGATTACTGGGTAAAGTTAAGAAAGGGAACAGAGGATACTGGATGAGTGTTCAGAGATCTAGACAGCCACACAGAAACCATATTTTTTTTTCTTGGTCAGTTTGTAAAGTGAGAGCCTTGAATTCACAAGAGCAACTTACCAGAACTTACCAGATCCTGGGATGGCTGTTGTGATGAGGGCAGAGACCAGCCAAGATTAACTGAGGCATTTAGTTTGCTGTCAAGGTTTCTTTATAGACTTTTTGAGTAGAGGCTTAATGGCAGGCTACACAACCTTTTTTTTTTTTTCTTCATTAGTGTGATGAATTTCTCTAAGGCATTTACTGGTGGGCTTTTGCTCTTTAAAGCTGGGCTAAGCATTAGAGTGTAGCAAAATAAAAAGCTATTACAGCAAGGTTATTTACACAAGGTATTTTATAAAATAAGTTCTACATTTTAATAACAAACCCAGGATGCTAGGAAACTTATCTCTCCTTTACATAGGAATGTCTGGGACAGGAAAATACTGAATCACAAAAGGAACTGTAGTCTGCAGGGCTTGGGAATAGAGTTTGTATCTCTTGTTTCATTCACTGTGTGTTGGCACTATTAGCTAAAAGCCTACTCTTGGTACTTTAATACGATGAAATACAGCTTTGCTTTCATATTAAAAGTGTGTTTTGTTGTCCCTACTGTAAATACTTTACGAAACAAACTTCACAATTACATTTCGTCTGGTGACGTGATTGTTTTCAAGCAGGAGAATTAGACGTTGCAGAGGTGGAATCTGACTTCGCCGCCGAGAGGAGAACATCCGCTGGTGTTCTGCTGCGCTCCTGCTAGACAGAACAAAATTGCAGCAGCGGTGGCTCTGTAAGAATGCACTGCTCCGTGCCCTTCATTATTGGTGACTGTGTTTTGAAAAGGTAGGGTAGCTCATAGGCTTTCTCTACCATGGGGAGAAAGATGGGAGAACCTGTGGTGCCTGACTCAGTTACATGTGTGGGTTGCAGGTTGCTTACGTGTGGTTTTACAACCGACTGTTGCTGTCTGCATCTGTATTAATTCACCAGTTCCCAGTAGGAAAGTCTTCCCAAATAAATATGGGGTATCTTGTACTTAAATAGTCTGTCAACAGTTCATTTACCTAATACACAATTGAAATCTACTTGAAATAGTAATTTGTCTGAAGTTTAATTTTGGAAATGTACAAACTCTCAGTAAACTAACTTAAATAGGTAAGTGCTATCTTATAGAACTGGAAGGCTTCAGAGCAGCACTTAAACACTAAAAATGCATTTAATGCGGGATATTTAGCTCTTTGTATGTTGCTAATGCCAATGGAACGCGGTAATGTATTAGGTTTTTTGCTAAGGATTTTGCAAAATAGTTGCAGTGGTAAGAGTGTGAACATAAGTGCTTGTTGTAAATTAAAAATGATGTTGTGACTGCTTTTTAATCCCATATTTGTAGAAAATTTAACTAGTGCTGCACAAAGTCCATCTTACACTGTTAAGTGTTTTGAGTATTATTGTATATAACTGCATTGGTATTTTAGAATTTTTTCCTCTTTAAGTCATTGTTGGTTATGAAAGCCTATTTTGAAAACAGAAATCAAAATTGTAATAAACATTATGTCTTAATCTACCGAGAAAAATGGCTTGTTCTGAGGATTATTTCATCGTTCTGTGCTGCAGCGAAAGACTGCAGTGTGCACTGTACTTAATGCGTTGTTCTGAAGTTACTTGAGAGATGACATTTTTGGTTTGAATATGTAGGTAGATACGTCTGCATCCTTACTGGAATATTTTAGTCTGTTGTTTTTCATTTTTGTTTTGTTCTTATTTTTAGTATTGAAAACAGATTTGTCCAGGTTTGTGTTTTTATTAGGTAGCCTGCAGACTGTTTTTGGGGGGGTGTGTGTCTGTGTGTGTGTGTCTGTGTGTGTGAAAGACCTTATCGATACTTGTAAGCCTGGCATTTGCAGAAATTCAGAGAGGTGATGGTAACTTATTGGATCCTCTTTTTTTTTGTCTCTTCCTACCTGCCAGAAATCTTGTTTTAGTAGCTCACTGAGGCTCCTGATGATGGTCATCAGTTTGAGGTTCCCATGGAAAAACTATCTTTTTTTTTAAAATAGATTTTGGAAGAAAGTATATGGACAGTTGCTGGTACTAATTGAAAAGTTGTTTATTTGTGCTGAAAAAAATCCAAACCTACAAGTATTTATTCACTAAAAATTTGGCATTATTTTCCAGTGTGCTTGCCTAACTCTTCCGTTGTTGTCTAACAAAATCTGAGCTAAATCTGTATTTTTGAGGGGGTAAAAATGATTCCTAAAAGCAGGGTGCCCTTGCTTGTGCTTAAAGTGAGAAACGTGTGGGGTGGTGGTTGCTGTGATGGCTTAGGGTGGGTTTGAGCAGGGAGGTGGTCAGGCCCTGAAGTGGTAGTAAGTCTTATAGAGTGAAAATAGTTGGGTCATCTTGGTGATATTTTCTCTACCCTTGTGATGCCTACTATTTCTTTAATAATTGAAGAACTATTAAAGGAAGACTGAGTAAAGTTATCAGACCAGATAGTACCTGCACAAGGCATATTTTGAATTGTTTGCTTATGGTGTAGTCATAAGCCTAAACCATGGCCAATGTGATCTAACAGCTTTGTATGTTTTGTACACAGACTTAAAAATAATGGAATAAAGTATCTGAATTATTGAATTTTTGAATTTTTTTCCTTGACCAATTTCAAAACTGTTCTATTCCTGAAGGAGTTAATGAGGAAACTTGGAACCAAATTAAAGTTCGAAGTTGAATTGGATTTCACGAAAATGGCTAGAGTGTTGAGTTGTATTTATTCACAAGGAGAACAAAAGAAATGTCTTTCTCATGGCTCTGTACGAGGCTGATGCTTATACAGAAATAAAGTGTCTCGAATCAGAGCGTCGAACTCCCTCACAAAGAGTGTGCCGACAGTTAAAGGGCGCTTAAGTGTTTATTTGAATTTCTGAAACTCTTCAGTTCAAATCCATGTGACTGTTTCCTGAACTTACTGTGATCTCTGAATGTGACAAGCAGATGCCTCTGAGCAAACTACTTATGAAAGACTTCTTTCTCATGAAATGGCAGATACATCCTGCAGGCAGTGGTGCTCGTGTCCTGCTATTTGTAAGTCTTCAACCGAAATAATCACTGGGAGGCTGTCTCAGTGACAGAGGATGGAAGCCAAGGCATGGGGCAGTGCTAGGAAATAGGAGCAATAAACAAAAAAAAGGAATACCCTGCAAGTGCTTTTTCAATGCTTTTATGTAATGCTAGTGCAGATTCCGTGATATCTTTCTATCGGCAGGGTTGTGGCCCTTGCTGTTAGGGCTGCATGTGTGTGTCTGCCATGGGATGGGGCTGCAGCTGTGCAGCCTCTCCCCCTCCTTCCTTCCCTCCGATCGTGGCTGTCTCTGACACTGAAGCACTATCACTTAAAAATGAAGTCGGTATTTATAACTCGATATATTCTAATCAAAGAGAGAGAATTATGTGGTGAGATAATGTGTGTAAAACACTTAGTATCTTGAACGTGAACTGCTTTTCCTGTGAATCACATGCTGTGATAAGGGAAATAAAGCTCAAGGGCGAATATTTAGAATACCTGTATCTTTATTTTAATTCAAGAAGATTGGCTGAAAAGAGCAACCGAATGTTTTTCACAAAATCACAGAAGTATCAACCTGTGTAACTAAAGTGTCCTGTTTATTAGGATGCCCCAGTCCTTTAAGTACAGCAGTGCCATAAAAATTTATGCTTAGGGTCATAGTACATTTTCGCCTTTCAAGGCTGTGATATTTTATGCAGATGAACTTAAAACTTAAAGACCTGGTGAAATATTTACTGAAAAAGGACTCTTGTGTCAAATCATGTTTGCAGTCATAAACATATTCTGTGACTTGATCAGCTCCCTGCTTTCTCAAAATTATCTGCAGTAGTACATATAACTCAAATAATCTATTCCTGTGAAGCAGTTTGTTTATGTATTCTCCAGTCTTCTGCATTCAGAAAGCTTTAGTAGCTTCTACTTGTTCCTTTTGACCAATTAATATGTAGGAATAGTAGTATTTCTCTTTAGGAGTGTTAAAGACTAATTGTAATCCTGTTACTTTTTTATATTTCTCTGTGTTAGTGTTATTTACATCACTTGAATTAAGATAAGTCTCTTCTATATTTTTCAGGTTCAAGCCATTTTTTCCATTTCAAGTATTGCCACCTCACGAATTTGAAGATCGAGACCTCTGTATACAGGATTTTCTATTGACAGAAGGTCGCCTAAAAGTCACGTTAATTGAATGTACAAGGTATGTTTTGTGATCTTTTGTTCATCCTTGGCTAAGGAAGTACTTTTGTTTGTTAAGTTAGTAGTAATTATAGATGTAGGTCTATTCTGCTTCATGAAGTAGTAGCTTTGGTGGTGTGATTATGCTCTAATCAAAAAATGTATTTTTTTAAAGTAAAAATTAACAAATGAAAGTTGCAGTAAGTTTCTGAGGCACTTCTATGTTGTTTTGTGGCTGCATGCATTTGCCTTTCTTCTGAATTTTGCCTGGTTATAAGCTAATCAGTGCCTCCTGTTACTGGTTGTTTTGGGTTTTTTTTGTTTGGCACACCAAATTATGAATCTCTTTCCAGGACAGTATAAATGTTGTAATTATTCTATTGTATTATGTTGTAAGCAAAGGGAAATAATTGTTTCATTCAGTCTTACTTGGATTAATCCAAATAACTTTTGTAAGGCATTGTTTATTGTCTTTGTCTTGAACAAAATAATGGAAAGAAATAAAATCTACTTACTTCACTCATTGAAGAGAAAATTATTCTTTTTAAAGCTGGAGAGAAGGTGTGTGGGCTCTTGGTTTGTTTGGGGTTTTTTTTCAGACCTCTTAGTTCTTGGTATATGTTAGATCTTATCCAAGTAGTGCTTAGGCTTTGATCTAGTCATGTGCCGTTCTGTTCTTTATGAACTAAACTCTGTTTTGCAGCAAGACTTTTTTTTAACCTGTTCTTTTCATTGCTTGTATTACCATATGAGCCTCTCTTTGCACTTTTTTCTGTAGCCTTGTCCAACTGTTTGAACTGTATTTGCTGTATTAATGTGGTTTATCAGTGCCATGGATTTCCAGAAGACACTCTTCTGCTTCTAAGGATTGTGTGGGCCACAGCAGTGATTATTTTATGTAATAAAATTGCTGCTTACCTGTGTCCGTAGCTTTGTGATGCATTTTTTTTGAATGATCCAAGACCACTAAATGATTCTGTACACTCCTTGGCTGCTAGGACTGTTTGCTCTTTAACTGTACTGAGTGAGGGAACTCATGATCTCTTTATTTGGCAGTCTCCAACTTCAGTGCAGTAGTGCATTCATTTTTATTATAATAGGGCCCAAAATAACTACCTTAAGTTGTGTGTAGTTGTTCTTGGTTTGGAAAGTAATCTTTAAATACTGTCTTTCCTGAATCTGAAACACTGTGTAACATCACCAACATCTCACTAGTGTTGTGTTTCTTTCCATTACATTTAGAAGCCAGATTGCTCAGTTTGACATCATCATCTGACCTCTCAGTATTTTCAGCTGTCACAGATGCTTATCAGATGGCTGAGAGAGGATGCAGTTGCTGGCTTGTCAGGTCTTTTAAACTTCAGGTCTGACTTAATCTGACTGTTTTATGCAGCTTGGAATTTTTCAACACACACTTGGAAATTACATCTCGACAGACACCTCTCAATCTAGATGTCTGACTTCTGGTCCCATAGTAATTCCTCAGATCTTCCAGGTGTCCCATCCTTTTTTGAACTAAATGACTACAACTGCTGTTCATAGACTCCCCCTATGAGTAAATATTCTTGCTTACTTTGCACCTGAAGATATTGATGAGGTAGAAGCTGAAAGACACATAGAGGATTTTGGTAGTAAAAGGAGAAATATACAATGTATGCAAAAGAAACAATGACAAAATTCCCCTATTTCATCAATGCTGTATGTGAGCTGGTGTGAAGGTTGCCTGGGACCATTCTCAACCATTTTTTTGCAGTGCAGCACTGCATGCTGAACGACAGAGCTTTTTCACTCATGTCTTCCATACGGACCTGAAAATTTTTCTTGGCAATCATTTTTGTTCCAGAAAATAAAGATTACTGTATTTTTCAGTTTTGCTTAGTGCCCCAGGTTTTTATATTCTCTCGCAGTGCAGTAGCTATTCGTTCACTTCTGTACAGAATTTGGAGTAGGATTCTTGACCACTGACGTATTCCATCTAGTCTGGTAACAGTGTTCTGCTACTTCTCCTTCTTAAGTCTGAAATCACTATAGTATAAAACATTTAACAAACTTTTTCTGTGTTATACATGTAAACTTTAATTTTGTTATATTCTGCGCACAACCAAATACCTGCACTTTCTGCACTTGTTTCGTTTCTAATGGTAGGCTTGACCATACTAATTTCCTTGCTGTCATGCTATTGAAGAAAAGTTAAATTTTGCGCATTTTAAAAATTAAATTAATGAAAGGATGGGAACTTTGGTGTAAATAATAAGGAATATGTTTTGCAGATCTTTGTCTGACCCATTGAAAATTTACGTTTTCTTGTACAAGTGCAATGCCCTCATAGAATTCAGTCATTGCAAAGATGCTGTTATCTGTGATTACCTTAAATTTTTAAGGAAAATGGTAAAACAAAGCTGTTTAAATTTTGCTATATTAGTTCTTTTTAAAAGATACACCGTGAAGAAAGTCTCAAAGCCTATAAATGAGTATTTTATATATATCTCATTTATTAGGTGAGAATACTCTTCCAAAACTATGCCATCAAGTGGGCTTTCTAAATGATAATTTTTTCAATAGATAGTGTTTGTGGACAAGGAAATCTTCCAAAGATAGTTGTTTAGTAAAGTACCGCAGAATGTACCTGAGACTGCGTTGTCAAATTTGGAGTTTTATGGGTTCTTTTCCTTTTGTCTTCAAGTGCGCTTCAGTGTGCAGCAGTGGCACCTTTAAGTATGTGAATATTGAATCTGCTTTTGATTATTAGAAGTTGGGAAATATCCTATGTATTTCAGCTCCTAAAATACTTGCAAATAGAAAGGCCACAGTTGAAATGAAAAAATGAGGAAAGGGTTGTAAAGGAAATTCAGCTTGCTTTTACATACTTGGTAATAACTAACATTTTACTAAAGATTGGTGTGTACTTTGCCTGCCTATACCAGATCCGTGTTAGATCTGTGGATCAGTACTCTAGCATCATCATACAAAAGGAAGGAAACTTCGTAGCCTTGTTGTTCATTCTCCTTTCTGGAAGACTATAAAAGTTTGCTGAAGTTCTCGGCTTGGCTTGGCTCAAGAGTTGAGGTGACCACAGCCTCCATGTGCTTCCGTTGTTCTCTATCGGAGGGAAAATACTTCATGTCTTGGAGTCCTCGTAGCTCTCGGACTGGAAAGCAGGAGAGCTGCAAATAACTTTTCATATCCATAGCTACTGTGTTGAATCACCCTATTCTACCTCATGCTCACTTGCTGTAGGTAACCATCCCATTTACAGTTGAGGAATGAATAGAAATTCACTTTCTGTATGTTTATTTTAATTACTCAGGTGGTAATTTAATAACTTTATTGATTTAATTATAGCTGGTGTTATAAACTCTGTTTCAGGATGTCTTTCATGCATCCTTTCATACTGATTTACAAACTTGTAATCTGTAGGATATAGGTATCTCCTTAATATCCAGTTGTTTGGGGTGTGTTGTGACACAATCTTAACGTCAGTCTTTATCTGCAGCTGTGTTATAGAATACAGTACCTCTATTTGCATGCTAATGGAGGTATGATTCAAACAAAAATTTCCTTAGTGTAGTAGCAGTTAAAAACTCCCTTTTGTTTTTCTGAAACTGGGAATTGAATTCCAAACTCCAGCATGAAGAGCTCTTTAAAATTTAAATGTCTAGTTTTGCTGTCTTGTGATATGTTTCTTCAAGTTGTGTTTTGGTAAGCTAATGTAAGGTGAAATTTCATTATGGCTCATTGTTTTCCTTGTGACTTTTATGTTACGGTTCTCTGAAAATTATGTTTTATTCCTATCTTGAGCTACCTCCTGTCCTTGTTCTTCTCAGTTGCCACCAGTACAAGACAGCTAAATAGCTACTGTGCTGATATTTTAGAGGCACAATAAGTGCCCCTGGAAAATTCCCCAAGAGTGTGTGTAGGTGACCAGAAGACGAAACGTATGCACCCAGTGACCAGCTGTGGAAAGCTTTAATGAACTGGCTGATATCAATGTGACACTGAGGAAAACCTGCGTTACTCAAAAGTAACTACTAAAAGCGGAACAGAAAAGCCACAGAGGGCTGGGAATGGCTTAAAAATAAGCAGAGGCAGCATGAGTTCGTCAGTTCAAGTAATCTTGAACAAACTTACTCTTGTCCAGACAAAGTACCTCATCAGTTGGTTCTGAGGCTGGATTTCTGCTTACAGTAATCAAATCGATAGTGTCTAGACAAATGAGTGCTGAAGGTCAGGCTGGAAATGAGGTTGACAGCTGCTGTTTGTGGCGTGTCACTAGAGCGTGCGAAGTTTCCATCTGAAGACGGGGTTACAGGGTAGAGCCACCAACTCTGAACCGAAAACAATTGACACTTTGTATGCAGGTGTGCTGGGTACCAACCCAGATGGGATCTTCCCCGTCATCTCCCCCATGCATTCATGGACTCAGCTAAAAACCAGTTAAACAAATTCCAGTTAAACAAATTCTTCATAGACGAGACAGAAAAGAAGTATTTATTTACCTCTCCTTGCTGCAATACAAGCTAGAGAGCTTTTGTAGCCAGAGAGGTGTTTTCCCTTGGGATTGGTTTAATTTTACCAATTCTAATTGTTGGTGAAAGTTGATTTCAATAACTTTGCTTAATTTTCAAAGTATGTTTACTACATGTTTCCATGTCTGGAAGGCTAAGCACTTGTTGATCATATTTAACCTAGAAACATTATTTAACAACATCAAGCTAAACAGAGAAAATTGATGTGTTTTCCTAACAGCTTTTGTCTGTATCATCTAGAGTTGTGTAGCATGTCACAGTCACAGCTAAGATAATATGGATGAAAGCTTAGAAACTGTTCTTGTCAAATGTATATAGAAATTTTAGGGAGGAATTTAAAATCTAAGAGCAATTTTGAAAGAGTAGGATTTGTTTGAAGTTTTTATTCCAAAATATTTATCAGCTTCCAGCTACTGTGAGAAGCTGTGTACAACTTTATTGCTGTTCTATAGCCTAAAGGTTATTGTCTTTTTTCTTTTATAGTGCTGATATCTACATGAAAAGCATTATAGCCTTGTGGAATAGGGTATCATGCATCAAGAACCACTCTTTTGTTTGTTATGAACATTACAAAAAATTACAGATATGTGAGGATTCCAGATTAGTGGAAAGAAACATAAGCAATAATAAACTTACTTTAATCTGTAGTAATGCTCTTAAATCAAGAAGAGCTGAAGTTTACTGTGAAGTTTAGGACTAGAGTGAAAGATTCTTGTGGCTATTGCTGCTTTAAAAAAAAAATTATTCTCTTATGGAAAAATACTAGTCTGCTGATTGAAGGCTTTATTTAAAAACAGAAACAAAAAAAACCCGCAAAACAGAAAACCCCAGCTAAAAATTTTTACTTCTGTTTGATATTTGTGGAGTTCTTCCACTAGAGGGTGGCAGTGTCATTCCTTTGGTGTAAGGCTGTGCCTGTAGAGTCTTCTTTGATAATAATAATAGAGTATATAAATGAAGAATGGTGAGTTTAATATGATAAATGGGATATATGTAATAGTATTACAATTCTTACTATAGGCTTTTCTATTTCAGGTTACTTATTTTTGGATCCTATGAAAGAGAAACAAATGTTCATTGCACAATGGAGCTGAGCAGTAATGTTTGGGAAGAGAAATCAAGAAGTTCTATTAAAACGGTAAAAAAGGGTATAATCTTTGTATATTGCAGTATGTCTTACGCTCTTAACATATTGTCTAAAAAGAGTGTGTCTTTGGACAGTTAAATGGGTGATATAGCAGAACACACACCCCTGCCCAAAACACAGCAGACCAGTTACTTTTTAATCTAAAGTATTTCACTGTTAAATTGACATGTATGGATAACATCATGCTCAGTTATCACAACTGTGCTTGCAAATGTTCCTGGTTTGAATATATTGTCAACTGTCCATCTGCATTAAAAAAAATAGTTTACACCATTTTACAATATGTATTTTAATAGTCCTGTTATATTTGAGTGGGGCAATATTTAGAAAATGGTGAGTAAGATTCACTTGTCTTTCACTGGCTGGTAGCGTATTCCCTTCTGATGTGAGTGGTGAGGACACGTGTGATCAGGGGGTAGCTCATGTGACTGACTTCTTCCTTTTCCCCTGCTTTTTGTGAAAATGTAGGCAATTGCCATAGAACTCTGAACTTTTATTAGAGCACAAAGAAAAATACTTTTACAGGTGTCTGCAAATATAGATAGTAGTATTGGTGGTATTGTAAGTTAATCTTTTACTAATTATCATACTTGATAACATGAGTTTAGCAACATAAAGCCTACGAGTTGCCTCTCTGTGTGTGGGGGAGGATGAGTTACCTTTTTTCTTCAGAAGTGTAATGTATGAAGGAGCCTTTCAGTTTCACATTAGAGTGCTATTGTGTTAGTGATCGAATTGAATTGGGCTTATGCTGAGAAGCAAGTAATGTGCCTATTGGAAAAAAAAAAACAAACACAACAACAACTAGAAGCTTTAAAAAGACTTTAACAATTGGTTTCATGCAAAGAAATCACTGGAACAAAAAGCAATGTCCTGTATTTTACCCTCTGCTGTCTGAGTGCAACTAGCTTAAGCCTGTGCCTTTGTTATATCTGACTGGAGTTATGTTTGGAGGCCAGCATAGTTTTTCCCCTGGAGCAGCAAGAATCCAGAATTTCAGCATCTCATCCAGTTTCTGCAATTAAATTCCACTTTGCATTGTTTTTAAAACTGCTTGTGACAAATAAGTATTCAAAAAACGTGTGGAGATGGCACTTCAGGACATGGTTTAGTGGGCATGGTGGTGTTGGATTGGTGGTTGGACTTGATGATCTTAAAGGTCTTTTCCAGCCTTAATGATTCTGTGAAATGCTATGATACTTGTTTTCAGCTTACTGTATATTATGTTTTGACAAAAAGGGTGTATGGCTGAGCAGCAGAGAGAAAAGCTTATCTTAGCTGCTGTATTCTCTTAGTCAAATGAAAAACTGGAATGGAGGGTGGAGGATTGCCCATGCTCCCTTAGGAACCTGTAACACTGGGTGGCAATTTGCTTTCCGAGTGCAGCAGGGAAATAACAAGCAGGGAGCCTGCAGCTGGAGTACAGACCGAGAAACTTCAGAGAACTTTCCTGGAGTCCATGTCAGCAGCCAGGAGTCATGGATACTGAATGGCAGCTCAGAACTCTGTTCTACGGCTTTGTCTCTCTCTTGGCCCCCTCTCAGCCTGCTCCTAACGCAGTCAGTGGTGTTTGCGTGGTTGCGTTAGCCATGTCAGCTCCCTGAGTTGGCTTGCTGCATGAGAGCTCCAGTGCCAGTGGAAAGCAGAAAGAAGGGTGGGATGGCAGCAATTTCAGCTAGTTTAAGCTGCTGAAGCATGGCACCACCAGAGGCGATGGCATCAAGCGTTCCAGTGGTGTCGAGAAGAATTACTGAGTTTGCTTACCACTAGAGATTGTTAGACTTCAATGAAGCACTAAGTAGGAGGTAGGTTTGAGTTATTTATTTTTTTTACCTTTTCTTAATCCATATTATGCAGCAGTTTTTAAATTTTGTTTAACTTTTTCTGGTTTGTTTTAATCTAAAGATTTAAGCATCTCTGCACAATTACATAGGGATAAGGTAGAAGTAATTCAGCCTTAGTAGTCTGGCCAGTTCATAGTCTTAACCCTTTTCTAATAAGTATTTCAAAATTTTCAAGAAACAAGCAATACTGCCAGAGTTAAAAACAAACAAAACAAAAAACCCCGACAAAACCAATAAAAAACCAAAAACAAAACTCCCAAACGCCTTTGGGATCCAGACCCAATCCTGCTAATACTTATGTGAATGGCCCTTTTGTTGGGACAAGCTGTGTATGAAACCGAGCATGGATCTGCAGGGTTGATGCTCTAGCAGTAAAGGTGGCAGTATGCTGGTTTACCATTATGCTTCTCTGGACAAATTACTTTGTGCTTATTTTTAGATAATTTTGAGTAGCAGGATTGGAATATATTCTTTTGCACTCTAACAACAGAGGAGGAAAGAAAAAACACTGCAGATGACAAAATTTTCAAGAAACAAGCAATACTGCCAGAGTTAAAAACAAACAAAACAAAAAACCCCGACAAAACCAATAAAAAACCAAAAACAAAACTCCCAAACGCCTTTGGGATCCAGACCCAATCCTGCTAATACTTATGTGAATGGCCCTTTTGTTGGGACAAGCTGTGTATGAAACCAAGCTGTGTATGAAACAAGCTGCAGGGTTGATGCTCTAGCAGTAAAGGTGGCAGTATGCTGGTTTACCATTATGCTTCTCTGGACAAATTACTTTGTGGTTATTTTTAGATAATTTTGAGTAGCAGTATTGGAATATATTCTTTTGCACTCTAACAACAGAGGAGGAAAGAAAAAACACTGCAGACGACATGGCATCGGTGTGTTTGCAACAGCAGATGGCAGTAGGACTGAACTGATGGAGGGTGGAATAGCTCCTTTTTAAAACTACAGAAAAGTACTCAGGATGAGACTCTCAAGAACTCATCTTCTGTTTCAACACCTAAAATGAAATGGCAAGTTTTAAAAATTTCTTAAGCTTTTGGAAATCTGGCCTGCAATGTACAGAAGGGTTTTCAAGGCATCTACACTGCAGTCCTTCATTTAGCATCATTGAAACACTGCCTGCCAGAGAGCAGAGACTCCTTGATCTGAGTTGCTGAATCTCTAGCTCTGCTGTCAGTATGAAGAATTCACTGTGCTCAACCACCTTGAACTTTAGGCCATGAGATAGGTGGCCTAATTTTAAGATCCTGCTTTTGAAAATCTTGATGTTGTAGAATATGGAAACTGAAAATTAGCAACTTGAGAAGTAACAAGTAGTTCTGCAACTTATATTCAACATATGTAGTGAAATCATGGAAGTCTCTTTTCCTTAGGAAATCAGGTTAAACGTGGAAGTTAAGTTACAAAATGTTTGGCAATATTCTTGCCACACTTTGAGGATCTTAGGACATCTCACTAAAAATGGGTTAAGTTGCTAACCCACTCAATGCTGGAACTTATTTTCCTCAGAAATTGTAACTGTGTGAATAGTTAAATAGAAAATTATAATGAAAAAGCATGTTGATATTTTGCAAACAAAGTTTACTTGTATCTTTAATTATGACTTTTAGCTCTATTGCAATGTTAACCACGACAGCTGATCGCAATACTTAATATCTTTCTAATATTAAATCCTTTTTTAATACTCACATGCACAAGAATTATTTGAGATGAAGCTGTTAGAATGAATAACTTCAGAAACTATGGAGGAGAAATGAATGAATAACTTCAGAAACTATGGAGGAGAAATGATAGACTAAGTTAAAATGAAAAGTAGAAAGATACATTCTAGTTTAAAAGTGTCTAATTAGAATCTCACATAGGCAAGACAATACATCTTCCGATTCAGACTATGTTCTACAATGCTCCTGAGGAAATCAAAACTTTCTACACTTCCTGGCATTTTCATTCTTTTTATTACGTTAGTAATAGTGATAAAAGATTAGACAGGTTTAATACTTCATAATGAATTTTGGCGAGACTTTAATCTGATCCCATTATTTATGGAATATTAGTAGGTGTCAAAATTGGCTTTGAAAAAAGACGCTGTGTTATTGAACATATCTAGAGCATTATTGAAGTGTCTGTTATAATACAAAGGTGTCTCAGGCTTGTTTATCAAATCAATCTGAAACACCAGTAAGACTTCAGAGGTGTGATTTGGCACATTCCCATGTGGTACATGTAAACATTGTTAAAGATCTTAAGTAGTATGTGTTCCTGGAAGTAACATTAATCACTGCACTGCTATGCAAAATTTTAAATTACATATGGATAAGATGTAATTAGTAGCATTGGATTACTAGGTAAGTGTTCTATAACTAAATAATTAATAATTGGATATATGCTTGTCGATATTAAATGGAGGCTGTGTCGTAAATGTGAACGGTTATGTCTACTGAACTGCCAGTTAGCAATACCAGATTGATTTCTACAAACAAAAAGAATTGTTCTATTTTTTTTCTTGAAGCACATCTGTTTAGAGTGGACCCCTGGCCTGGTTACACTTGGTGAGAACTTGCTGCTGACTTTACCTGTGCCAGCACTTCATGTATACTGCTGTGAAAGATTAATGTAGTTTTTCAGCAGAAGCTGAAGTTGCTCTATGACTAAAAGGAAAATATAGTCTCCTTTCCTTGAAGGTGGTAGAAGAATGGACATAAAAATGATCTTGAAATGCTAGTAAGAGAGACCTGAGGTAGCTTTGTAGCTGTAAGTATCCCTTACATTGACTATACAATGCCTTGACTGCTCTATGGATGCTCGGCTGTCCTGAGTGTGGCAAACGCTGGCACTTTCCTTTGGTTCCAGGGAAGAATGAATCAAGAGTATAGTTGTATCAAAATGAGAATCTTGTTTCTTTTGAACTGCTCTGCTTATCTTGGTTGTCATGTTGCCTTCCTTTAGGTCCTGATTTTTCTCGCAGATAAATTAGTTTTCTACGAATTGTAGAAACTATTGCACATAGATTGGTATCTTCTGATACTCTTATACTCAGGAAGCATGTATAAACTCTTAATGGTTTGTGCTTTTTATTGGTTGTATAAATGTAAAACAATGGTGGAGAGGTGCTCAATTGCAAAACAAAAT